AAAATAAAATAAATTACACTAATGATCAAATTCTTAACTGACACCTCCAAAATACTTTATCCAACAGCTAAAACAGATCATATATTAGGCCATAAAGCAAGGCCTAACAAATTTGAAAAAATTAATAAATTTCTTACAGCTTATTACATCATAATGGAATGAGACTAAAAAAAAAAAAAAAAAACAAGAGATATTATAGAAACACATGGAGATTTAACAGCACTTTTGAACAAACGGTGGGTCACTGAAGACAAGAAAATTAAAAAACCCTTTGAAGCATAGCTGGGGTGATGGAGGCCCAGGCAGTAGGATGGCAAGTTTGAGGCCAAACTGGTCAACTTACTGAGACCTTGTCTCAAAATTAAAAAGGATAAAGACATAGTTCAGTGCTTGCCTGGCATGCGTAAGACTCTGGGCTCAACCTAGTAGTCTAAGGAAACAGAACAAATCAAAACAATACAACCCTAGAATATGTAGTACATAGCAAAAGCAGAATGAAAAGGAGTTCATTCAACTACATTGAGAGAGAGAGAGAGAGAGAGAGATAGATAGATAGGGGGTGGATATATCAAATAAATAACCTAACTTAATGATATATCTCAAGGTCTTAGAAAAGCAGGAACAAACTAAACCCAAAATCAATAGAAAGAAATAATAAAGACCAGGACAGAAATAGATAAACAGAAACTAAAACAACAATACAATGGGTAAATGAAACAAAGAGATGGTTCTTCAAAAAGAGCAACAAAATTGACAAATTCTTAGTTAAACTAATCAATGTAAGAAGACACAAATAAGGAGAAAGGAGAGAGGAAGAGACAGAGAGGGGGAGGAAGGGAGGAGAGGGGGTGAGAGTGGGTAAGAGTATGTGTATGTGTATGTGTGTGTGTGTGTGTGTGTGTGTGTGTAAGTCTCACACACACATTTTTTATGCCATTCTAGCGACAGAACCTAAGGACTCATGCATGCTAGGGAAGCATTCTACCACTGAGTTATATCCCCCAAGCTATACTCCCCGTCCCAGAAAAAGGGTATTAAAACAGATATTAATGAAATTCATAGGATCATTAGGGATTGTTTTAAAAATAATACATCAAAAAGACAGAAAATCTAGAGGAATGGGTAAATTTATGTACACATAAAAACCTACCAAAATTGAACCAAGAGGATACAAAATTACTCAACAGATCCATAATTACATCCACCTACTCTAGCCACACCCTACCCACCCAAGTAACCACCCAGTTAACCCCTATCAGCATCTTAATGCATTGATTAACTTAAGGCTCTCATAACCCAATTACTTCATCTATAAATTTTCTTGTATTGTCTCACAAATGAGCTTTTAGGGGCCACCTCATATCTACACAGTAACAAGGACCTAGAAATAAACTCATACAATAATAGCCAACTGATACTTGAAAAAGATGCAAACATACACTGGAGAAAGAGATAGCCTCTTCAACAAATAGTGTTAGGAAAACTGGATACCCACATACTAAAGACCAAAACTAGACTCTTATCTCTCATCCTGTACAAAAAACAACTCAAAATGGAACTAATATCTTAAAGTAAGATCTGAAATTCTGAAACTCTCAAAAAAAATCAAAAACACTTCAAGATATTGGCATAGGTAACAATTTGCTGTATAGGACTCTAATGGCTAAGGGAACAAAATAAGAACTGACAAATGGTATTACATCATATTAACAAGCTTCTGGGACTGGGGATGTGGCCCAAGCGGTAGTGCGCTCGCCTGACATGTGTGCGGCCCGGGTTCGATCCTCAGCACCACATACAAATAAATGTTGTGTCTGCTGAAAAACTAAGAAATAAATATTAAAATTCTCTCTCACTCTTTCTCACTCTCTCTCACTCTTTCTTTAAAAAAAAAAAAAAAAGATTCTGTACAGCAAAGGAAAAAAAAATCACCAGAGTGACAAAATAATCTACAGAATGAGAGAAAATCTTTGCCAGTTATTCATCTGATAGAGGATTAATGTAAAACATAAAGAATGCAAAACAAAACAAAAGTGGGCTGGGATTTTGGATCAGTGGTAGAGCATTTGCCTAATATGTATGGGGCACTGGGTTCGATTCTCAGCACCACATAAAAATAAATGAATAAAGACATAATAATCAATGTCTAAAAAAATTTAAAACAAAAACAAAAGTGATCCAGTCAACGAGCTAATTATCTAAGTAGACACTTCTCAAAAGAAATAAAAATAAATGGTCAGTATATGAAAAAATGCTATCTTTAACCACAAGGAAAATGTAAATCAAAACCACATTGAGATTCCATCTCACTTGTTATGATTATTATAAAAACAAAAAACAAAATAAATGTTGGCAAGGATGTGGGGGAAAAGAAACCCTTATATATGATGGGTGGGAATGTAAATTAGTACTGTCATTATGGAAAACAATATGGTGGCTCCTCAAAAAATTGAACTACCATTTGATCCAGCTATATCATTCCTGGGTGTCTGTCTCAAGGAAACATGATAGCATGTAAAAGAGGTATCTGGGGAGAAGGGGGAAAATGTGGCTAGCTGTGTTGCCACTATCTCCAATGGCCGGGTATTTTGCTGCCTGGGCCTTGGCCAGAGTCCCACATCCACCTTTTGTGAAACCTGCTCACAGGACTAGTGACACACAAATGAATAAATCCAGGTGTCATGGGTGCGTGTGGACAAGATGAGGGGCTACAGTGAGGAGTTCATTGACTAGGGGAAGCTGAGAGACACCAACAAATGAGCTATGAGCATGGCTGACTTCTGGCTCACGGAAAAGGACTCGATCCCAAAGCAGTTTCAAGTACTGACACCTCAATTTCAATATCAGAATGGGGGATACACAAGAACGCTGCTGCAGATCCCAAACAGGATCAGGTCAAGATGGCAGTGATCAAATATAAAGGGAACTGCCTCTCACCCCTGCCTCTACCTCACAGAGACAGCAACCTTAAGACCTAAACCAGTTGCTTCACGATCTGTAGCAGGACCTCTACCAGGAAGCAAGCCTCAGCAGCTCCCAAACAGCTCAACTACCAAGGATCTAACTGGAGCAGGAAGGTCTGTGACTCTCTTCAGTGCCTGTAATCACAGGCCTTTGGAATTCTTTTAATGTATGAGAAGAACTGGAACTAGAATTGTAAAATGGACAGTCTTAATGGGGCCCAGAACCTTCTGGGGAGCCACATAGCCCTCTCTTTACATAGTAGATAAAATTCCTTACATGAATACAGGTAAATTGATCTTTCTGTCTTCCCCTAGGATTTCTAGAAAATAATAAGCTGTCATCTGGGATAATAAATTTATGGATAATTATAATAGCCAAGATATGGGGGCCATTAATAAATGAATGGATAAAGAATATATGGTATATATACACACAATGGAATATTTACTAAGCCAAAAAGAATGGAAGTATGTTACTACAAGATATCAAGTTAATAAGCAAAATAAGCCAGACACAAAAAGACAAGTATATAATGTTTACTCTCAAATGTCTCAGGTACATTAGAAGACTCAAGGAAAAACTTTTCAATATAGTGATAATGTCAGAATATATTATACTCTGAATAATTTGAAGAAATTTAGTAAAATACCAGAGAATCCAGGTTGTTGACTAACCAAAACTATGATATACTGGTTGGAAAGGGTAAAAATATATTTGTATGTTTTTGGGAAACAGATAATAGGAAAACAAAGTTCAGTCCTTGTCTTGTTTAGAACATCAATAGATGTGGCCTAAAACTGAAATGTGAGGATAAAGCATTATAAGAATGCAAACCTTAGAAATAATATCCACTTAAAGTACCATGGACACACTTACTTTTCCCCTCTTTACTTTTCTATCATTTGTTTTACTTGCTTTATTGCTCTCACTAGAATATAAAATATAAAAAGTAGCAGCCAGAATCTTTGTCTTGTTTTCCATCATGGGCTTTTAGTATTTCATTAAGAAATATGATGAATGGGATAAATTTTGCACATAACCTTTACTGACATTAAGAAACTTCCTTCTATTTTTATGTTACCATGAATAGACAATTTTATCAAATGGCTTTTTTGAAGCTCTTGATATGAGCTTATGACTTTCCTCCTTTTATCTACGATCATGCATCTTAGTAATCATACTTCTGAATGTTAAATCAACTTGCATTCCTGGAATAAACCCAACTTGGTCATGATATATACTGGTAAATTTAGTATATCAAAAAAGAATGAGCTAGGCATGGTGGTGCATGCTTGTAATCCCAGTGGCTTGGGAGGCTGAGACAGGA